ATTGTGCAGGTTTATGCGAGGTGAGATACCTATGAGATCTGATCTGTCCAGCGGAATTCCGCGCAGCATGGCTCCCAAGGATGTGACCCAACCGAGCACACCGGCCAACACGAATATGCGACAGCCGCCGAACTATCAGCGAATGCACAGCAACGAAAGCAGGGGCAGCGACAAGGATTCCACGGGCGGGCGAGACTGACTAGACGGCCCGCCCACAGCCATATCGAGCAGGTAGTTATCCCTGATAATTTAGCATATAACCCTAACGTTGGGTTGAGCGAATCGATTCGTCAATGTCCAGGAAAAAATCTAAAATTTGTAGAATCCATTAACACCCCGGTACCAAGAACTCAGTCTTGATATTGATAGTCTGATGTTAAATCAATTATTATGAATAAAGAATTTATCATCAATTTGGAATAATTTCATTAAAAATAATTGAACAAGGAAAATTTATAGGTAATAATAAATAACAAACTAAATTTATGTTGTTATGGACTGAAAATCTTTTAATAGTTTCGATTTCTTAAAAATATCCAAAAGAGAGCTAAGCGATGATTTCAAGTAGTAATAAATAATGATTTGAATTATATTAAAAGTTAGTAAATATATATTCTTGACACTGGCTGCTAACGAATCGATTTACGATGTGATTTTGAAGTGTGCTCTACTAACGCAATGCTAATTTTTGTTTTCACGCAGCCAAGATTGCGAATCGCTCTATGACAATCACGACTAGGTCAGTCAGCGATACAAATTTTTTATCAATGTTTAAACGGACAAAATATATCACTATCGCTTTTGCTAAACCCTTGTGCTAAATCAATCCCTGATACCTTTGATATCGTTGCACTTTTTCAGTTCCATATTACACGTAGATAGATATATGTGTCTGTGATGTAGATTTGTAGATGATAATTTAAGGTGAAGGTTTAAATAAATTTTTGTCTACTTGAGTGTCAGATGTTTATTACAGTCTATATGTAGAAAAAATTATCCTTTAATTAAATATCTCTTAACTAATAGATAATACACTGCTAAAAATTAATCAAAATAATTATATAAAGATTTCATGTTTAATCTTAATAACAAATTTTTTTGATGATTCTATAATTGATTTTTCATAAAAATTTCAAAAATATATATACTGGCAAATGCAATTTTAATTTTTTACATATAGACGTCAATGTTTACATACATAGTATTTATGTTATTTATTTTATATTTATTGATTTTATATTTATTGATCTAAATGGTGAAACTGCATGATATAATTTTGCATGATATAATGATATAATCCAATAATTCTTTGGTGTTCAGTATAAGAAAATTTGAGATAAATTCACAATATTAAAATTATAGGAATATAAAATGAAAATATTAACTGCTCGAATGATACGATATACAGAGTATAGTAGATTCTATAACAAGTCAATGAAAATTCAAAATTAATATTTATTTCCAAAATTTCTAAACATCCTAAAAATTACTTTTAATATTTTGATTGAAGATATATAAAAGATATCTAAAAGATATCTAAAAGAAATGAAACTATGAATATCCTTATTTTATCTAACACCGAAGAAAGCGAATGAGAAACGCATTTCTCGCTGAGTCACGATTTTGCAATAAGTTCTATTTTCGTGTTGTAGACTTAGAAAGTCGTCGAGTCCATCCCGTTGGTTGATGGGCCTGCCACCCACGTCGCCGCGCTTCAAGTTCATGTACACGCATCCGGTGGGTACCAGCAACAACCACGCAGTACCTCGCAGGCCACCGCGGCAGCCACCCTTACCATCAACGCGATCTCGTTCGCTAGAGCTGCTGGATCAACAGGATCAGGAGCAGAAGTCAGTTTCTTCCACGATCATCCAACGACCACCACTTCCTAGGCCAAGATCACGCAGTCTGGACGGTTTGCTGGATGATGATGCGAAGAATGGTGAAGAACAGAACAAAGGGCAGTGCGAGAAGAATCGAGAATGCCCTTCGATGAGCTCGGAAGAAAATAAAGTTGTACCTGCTTCAGAAGAAAGCCAGAAAGAGCCTAATATCGAGGCTGTTGAATTTAAAGGTGAACTTAGGCAGATTTGCAGGATAAAACCGAAAGTATTCAACGAGTTCAAATCCGAGACGGAGGATAAACGAACATTTTTGAACAAGAACAAGGAAGCTTTGCCGATACGTCCTCCGAAGCCGAGCCGACGTTCCAATTCGGAAGGACAGTCCTTAACATGTTCCAGCAGACAATGCACAGAACAGGAGCATCCAATGGAAGAACAGAGGCTCAAGAAGATAGCGCAAGAAAGATTGAAGACACAGAGCGACAACGAAAATAATGACTACGACAACGACGACAAATCGACGATGCTGCTTAAGGCATCAAGAAGCTGTGGTGCGGGATTAGACTCTGATGGGAGCGTCTCGTCAAGCGAATACAGTGGGCACAGAGCTCACCACGCAAAGGGACCGGGTTCATTGTTATCGCTACCGGCGGGCGCGGAACCTAAACGCAAACGGAACTTCATGGACAAGTGTGTGAACAAGGTGCGGTCGTTCATGAAAAAGTAAAGCAATATGACTTCTTGTTATTTAATTCCGCAAATTGATTGAATAAGGCGCGCGCGCGCGCGCGAACCCCAATAAGTCCAAATCTAAAAGTTGCTGTGACAGATAACTGAATAATTACGATATTCTGATCACTTGAAAAATTTGATATCTTAAAAGTATTTGAAAGTTTTCAAAAGAATCAGGAAAAATTATAAACGTCCCGATAGTGAGATTAGAAAACATGTATAAAAAGTTTCAGTGATCAAGTTATATTAAATGTTTTTATGAGTATTGAATAATTATAGTTTTAAAGACCAAAAGGACGCATTTAAAAAAATATTTAGAAAAAATTTGGCTGAGCAAACTATTTAAATGTCTTTTATATATTGAAAATCTTTGAAACTATTGCTTACGAAAATATTCAGCAATTTATGATTCCTGAATTTCGTGTATTTAATTTTGCGATACGGAAACGTAATTCGAACTTTGTGATCCGTTTTGTGTATAATGGCAGCATGAAAGTATATAGCGAAAAATGTGCCTAAAGATGTGACACAAGTGTCTTCGTAGAAGCCTCGACATCTTGACTTGGCTTACGTGTGTTTACGCGAATTAGCCTGCTTTTCCAGGTGCCTTTTTGTATTGTATTTTCTCTCGTTGAATTGTATTGTATGAATTATATATGTAGGTATATTGTATATGTAGGTATATTGTATATGTAGAAACGAACGAGAAATTAAGGCGGCTAAGTCGATATTTGTAATACTATTTTTCTAGGCAGTTCTTTTCTCTTAGACCGCGTTTAAAAAGACGCATGTGGCTTGCATGGTCACGAATTATGGTTGTTCTTATTGCAGCTAACACCGAAAATACATTATACACAGTTGTACACAATTGTATGGAGTGTTTGGTACGCGCGATTCAGCGACATTCCTCTTTGAATGTCGAGATTGTATATTGAAGTTAGAAAAAACTAATTTTTCCTCTAATATTCAAACGCAACGTACTTTTTTTATAGGTAGAATCTCAGAGTTAAATATCTTGATAACTATATCTCGAGTTTCCAACGAGATGAGATCCTTCCAAAATTAGTCAAATAATATTTTACATGATTTCTATCTTTTTTACTATAAAATCCTGAACCATTCGTATTTTTATCGAGAAAAAATAATTATATTTAACTTTTAATAAGGAATATCGTTATGTGTGTGTGTCTGTGTGTGTTTGTGTGCGTGTGTGAAGAAACATAACCGAACACTCGATACATAGCGTGACTGTTTCCCAGATCGCGCAATATTTTACTATTTAACACTATTTTTATCATATTGCCTATACACTCTCGCCGAAAGTCGAAACGGCAACGCTTCGATATTCGTAGTTTAAGAGATCCGCCTGATTATTGCAAAACTGTATATTTTACCAAAGTTTCATAAAGTTACGGATTTTATCGAAATGTTTGAATGTTTCTTAGAAATAAATTTTATTTAGCGAGACAAGATCGCTTATCTCTCTTCAACCCTTTTTCAGTGCAAAGAAAAAAGATGGAAAAAATTATGTTTATTTTCTTTGTTTGATGTTTTTTTTTATTAAAAATATCAAACATTTTATTTATAAAATTTATAATAAAGATATCTTTGATTTAGTGTTACTTCGCAATATTTATCACATCAACACGGAACGAAATTTAAAAATTAACAAATATTCATCTAACAAACATTAATTTACGAATCTTATAACTATGTTTATATTTCAATATCGGTTAGATTTTGATTGTTTTAAAAAATATAATAAAATTATTGTCTCATCGTGTGTCTCTGAGTCAAGTAAAAAATAACATTTTTTTATATGTCTAATATTAAAAATGTCTAAACACTAAATTAAGCATAATTATATATAAATCGAAATTTCGAGCCATAAAGACATCGTCAATTTTGTAAAATTCTATACGGAGCGAGGCTTTCTTCATTTCTTGCGATAATGTTTATGCTTCTGAACAGCATATTGAATATTTAAAGGTTGTACTACATTATAGTGATGTGCTTACACTTGTATTACATAATCATGGTTGCTCCAAGGAGCAACCATGATTATGTAATACAAGTGTAAGCACATCACTATAAAGATATTGTTTGCTGTTGTAAATCATATTACCAGAGAGAAGCCTGAGAGCGGCCATGCCCGGAATTTAGCTGCAAATCGTGGACATAGCAAAGAATATCTTAATCACAAAATCGTGGATTGACTACGTAGTTCAATGTCCACGTTTTGTGGACATAGAGGCGCTTCAAAATAAAATTGCAGCTAAATCCTGGGCATGGCCGCTCTTAGGCTTCTCTCTGATATTACTTGAAATGAAACTGATGGAATAGGCCCCGCCTTATCCTATCTCTTTTCGTTAATACAATCTGTACTATATAAAAAAACAAAAAATATTTTTTATTGCTTCTTACTCAGTAAAAAACTTCAAAAGGAAAGAATTCGTTTTATCTTAACACATCTTAAGGTATTTGAAACATCAGTCTATCTAAAGTTATATATATGAAGTAAAATTCTTATCTATTGATGATATCGTTGCGGCCTCTCAGCCTGCGCATTAAAATCATATCGTTTCGCATAAGAGTGACCCGTTTTGCATGTAATGTCAGCAATACTGAATCTTCAAAGAATTGTACGATATACATCTCTGTCGCTTCTTGCAGGGCTTCAAGAGCAGTGGCTTGTATTCTACAAGTTAATTTTACTTAACTTTATTGAATGCTGTAATAGAGCTGTAAGAATTTTCCATCGAGATTCATATTTGCTTCTATAATTTTTTTCATTATACATTATATATTAAAGTCTAATAATTCTAAATATATATATATAGTATATTATATTAAAATATAATATAACATGTTACATTAAAATAACAAAAAAAAGAGAAAACAATATATTTCATGAAAATTTTACTGTATGTAATAAAACATTGATTTTTATTTTTTTCATGATTTTTTTTTATACATAAAGCATTCTTTTTTACAGCACATATAAAATAAAATTGCTCTCTTCTTAATTAATTAAACCATACAGCCTTAAAAATGTGTGAATATATAATATATTTAAATAGTACCATGTAATAATATAGTTTATGGAAAATTTGTGGTTTGTAAAATATATTGGTATTATATTTACCTGGTGATGTTCTGTCTGGGAAATATGTCGATGATAATTTCTCTGACTAAACGTGCAAAAGGTTGTTTAGGTATGAGAAAGTGTGTGGTTCTCCTTAGATGTTTAATTTCCTGCAGCACATGGCTTGTCCATTTATTTTTACTTACTATTACAGTTGTCTGAGAACAATTATTCAAAATCAACAAGAGATCAATAGAACAACAGTTTAATGCATTTATTGTAGCATCTAAGCATTTATTGCAACTCATGTAAGATTTAATCTAACAACATATATCATTGAGTACCTTTCATTTAGTAACATAAATTCACACAATGTTCTTTCTTTGCAAAGACAACCGGATAGAATGATACTTGTGTCAACTTATGTCATTAAAATGAAAAACATCCACTTACATTGTCTTTATTTGCTCTTTTCTTTGAAAACTTGCTTGATGGACTGAAATATAATATATTATTATTTATAAGCTATATAAATATATATAAATATTTCATAGAAAAATATGATCTCAGACATAAAAAAATAATACAATAAAAATACTAATTAATAAATAATTATGATATTAATAATAAGAGATTACTAGATTATCATCACATAAATGCACACAGAAATATTATGTATATAATTAAATGACAGCATTAGTGAGACATAGTTTATTATATGACTAATGATTATTGCATCAATATGTAAAATAATTGTGATAAACGTGAAAAGCAAGTACAGAGAAATCAAGCAGAAATAATAACCTTGGAACAGATTTTCGTCTAACCATTGTCTCGTTGAATTGCAGGCGTTCACAGATTCTTAATACTATGAACGACAACCCACAACTAGTTTGGATTCGGAATATAGTAAAAAAAATGAAGAATTTTAGGATGAAATGATATCAGACATCAACGGTCAATCCAATCCGATGTGATACAAACATGAATTGGCGGTTGGCGCCAATTCTGCGCGAACCTAATCTAACCTGAAAATGAACAATTGAATTCGTAACTAGACTGTCACAGAGGACGCTAAATTACCTAGAACGCGGAATGCTAACGCCAAAAGAAGAAAATGCTAGGATATCGCAATTTAAACAGAAAATTAACAATAATATGATAAATTAACAATATGATAATAACGTATATAATAAATATTAGGCGATTTTTGACGTGCTTCTGGGTATAGCAACCAAAAGCAACCGCGACTAAAGCCCGTATCAGACTGCCAATTCTGGCTGTTGACCAATAATGGACCAATCACATTAGCTGCGTTCAGCAGACTCAACAGTTTTGCAACCGTTTTATGATTGTCTGCTGAGATAGGACCATTCTTCTAGATCTAAAAGTATGATCCAATCAGCTCGAAAGAAACTTCCAACAGTTGCAAAACGAACGTTCTGCTGAACGCAGCCATTGAATCAGTCTTATTGTGATTGGTCCATTATTGATCGGCAGTCAGAGTTGGCAGTCTGGTCGGCCTGCAGAGTCGGTAGTCTGATACGGGCTTAAGGCTATCTTCGTTTTCAGGGATCAAAAGACAATAATGTGCATAATGCATCGTTTATCCTTGTTGTTCACCAAATGTTAAACAAGGATGATGGCTACATTTACAACGTACATTTAGGTCGCGGCCTAAATGCACGGTGTAAACGTAGCCAATGGATGCATCATACGCATCATGCAAGATACGGAACGTACCTAAAGATAACCCCAACCGCGGTTGCTTGTGATTGCTATACCAGAAGCACGCCAAAAATCGCCTATTATGATGATTGATGACGAATGACAACGGCAGAAACTTTTGGTGGAATCAAATTTTATTTTAAGACAAATTTCGCACTAACAAGTTGGCGGGCTTGACTACGACCAACTGCGACTGCGGGTGCAGGTGTAGTTGGTGTAGTGTAGTTGTCATTCTTTTTTCATAAGCGTGGTAGGGTAATTTTCACGTTGCGCTCATATTTTGCGGTTCTTGCGATTGATGTGCGTAAAATGCGTTAGCTGTCGACCTGACGGATCACCCCGAACAGCATTTCGCTCAGGTGAGACCGCGATTTTCATATTTTGCGTTCTATGCACGGATGCGAACTCGTCGCGCGCTTTTGAGGTTAACTCTCGCTCGTCAAATTCAAGTTCCTTTCACTCTTGCTGAAGAAGGTACGCATTGTTGTCACTCATCGATCTGACAGTATTGGTACTCGCGCATATTCGCGAATGTATTCATGAGTACTCGCGATCGTTCGCGCAACTTTTGCCCATCTTCTTACCCAAGAAAATATGAGAAATTGATGATGACATGGTTTTAGTTTGAGAAATCATAAATTTCTTGATTGGTTGACTTCGCAAAATTCAGGCATTTAATTTAGGCTGTTTATCTTTTAGAGGATACAGTCGACATAACGTTCTATTCGTGGCATTTAATGAATAAAAGAAACAGAAGATTTTGTTTCCTAAAAGGAAAGTAGTCATAATCAATGCTTCAAATTTTCCTTCTTGTCAAAGTTTATCCACGTTCGATTTCACTCTAACTTGAAGATTATTATAGTAGTATTTTTTACTTCAAAATGTAGTTGAATGTAAGAATGCCAGTAAAGTGCTAGTAAAAGAAGTTTATTTACATCCTATATATTCCTGATGTCATTTCTTTATTTGTTCATATCTCTATTTTTATTCAATTAATTTCTTATTTGGTATTTTTCAGGATTTTTTAAATGTATCTTTTTTTATTAACAATGCATAATATTTTTGTTGCAGTGCAGTGTAACATAGTGAATATATAGAGCATGACGGAGCCTAAACCATCAGGACTAAGACCGCCGTCAAAGATAGGACGCCCTTGCTCCACCATGCCTCCTAGACCAGCAATCCCGCCTTCTCCAATAAGACCAACGATCAGTGAGTCTTTAACAAAATTGGGTGCCGTTCTTTTTTATTGCATGCATAATGTATTTTTATATTGTTATGATCGTATGTCATATCTGTTATCCATTTTTATACTAAATGGATATGATATATATATCTCTGACATTGTTAGAGAGACATAAAAAGAAGTATCTAACAATATCTCGTGTTAAGTAGAAAAATAGATCACGTATTAATAAATGTATATACCCGTTCTTTATAACACTTTGTTTATATAAGATAACAGAGTATCTCAAAAAGGAGAATGTTAAGTTTTTGCTATTTTTCGACCAAAATGAATAAGTTCCTTGATGTACAGTTTATACATCATATTAAGGAGTTCCTTAAACGGAGTAGCCCTTTATTATGTAATTTGTATATCTTGGAACTTTTCATTTTGGCTGAAAAACAGCTTTAACTTAATATCCTCCTTTTTATGTTCCTTTTAATTCTGATTTTAATTCGTAGAACATCAACAGATAGGAGGAATCTTGCCAAAAATATCTTTTCTTTTCATGATTATTTTATCAAAAGTACACAAAAGAAAGATCCATTACCGTTTACCTCATACACATGCAATTATGCATTTGTTGCATTAATAGGAATTGTCGTAAATTTAATCAGAAAGGTATACAAATCAGATATAATTAAATCTATCAAATATTCTAGTTGAGATCAGATAATCAGAAATTCAATTGTGATAACCAGAATTCTAATTCATATGATGATCAGAATTCGTTTCTTCTTGTTGGTATAACTAGAACATTTTTCTCAGTAATGGAAATTAATGGACAATTTAAATGATATATGAAACTATAAATAAACTTTTATTTACATTGTCAGTGTTTCCGTAATGCTAATTTACTTATGCTATAAAAGTGTTTATATGGAGTATGTTTTGACGAGAGTACTACATTATCGCAAACGTTGTTACAACTCGAACATATACCGTGAGTGTCTCGTTAATTCGTGCACACCGGGAACACAGTGCACGCCCACAAGTCGGTCGTGAACGAGCGTGAACGCGAGTCCGCAAGTTGCTCGCACGAGTCGTTCTTCGGCCGTTCGCGACGACGCATCCTTTGTGAAAGAGAGGGAGAAAGAGAGAGAGAGAGAGAGAGAGAGAGAGAGAAATTGGTAAATATTTTTCACGAGAAATTCTTGGGAATTAATGGTGAGTCGCGTGAGTCTATCGCGAGTAGTGCGTTCTTTTCTGTCTCCTTAAAAGAAGAAACGGAAACATTTCTCTTTGCTTTGTGCCGAAATTGCGGTGAGTTTAACTGATCGTCGAGAAAACACTACGAAGCGAACTGCTTAGTGATCAGTCTCTTGGTTTGATCTAATAGTAATTATTTAAAATTTTTTATTGCATTTTGTAACATTTTATTTTTATTACATTTTGTTTAACCTCGTACATTAATTATCACTCAGTTCGATTATTGCGATTTATAAATGTTACTGTTTTACATTTATGAAAGCTGATTAACTTGACTTGTCGCGATTAATCGAAAGTGGTCTATATTTTTTATCCGTTTTTGCGGGACGTATTTTTGAACAATAAATCGCTTTTTGAAAAGTGACTAAAACGACTAAGAATTATTCACCACAAAAAATAATTGGCAGATAATTCGAAAATTAAAGCAAATCTCTCGGAAATAATATCTTAACTTTACAAGCATTTAGTGTTTTTAAATATTTTAATTAATATGTTTAATATTAACCTCGATTGGTCTATTTGATCCAAAATGTAATTTATTTTTTTACTAATATTTTATTTAAAAATTTTTTCTGTATTTTTTTTTATATTTGATGACTTTTTTCGTCTATTAATTTAAAATTTTTTTCTATGAAGATTTTTTTTTATTTTTGCGAACTTTTTCGTCATATTGACACAGATGATGTAATAGTAAATTTAAACAGACCAGCAGGGTTAATATATTGCTGCCATATGTCAAATGAAATTATTGCCTAAATTCTAAGCAGAATCGTAAGGCTCGTAACATACTCCTGTAAGACTTGTAAGAATTTTTAAATGCTTATACCTTTATACAATTTTTGCAGACAGCTTCTTACTAGCCATAAAATTTACAAGAAATCGTAGATATTTACGAATAATCATAAGTCTTATGATACATACGCATAAAATTAGAATACTAGTCACATATTCTTACAAATTTGACGAGAACACATTACGAATCTTACGAGTCTGCTTAGAATTGACCCATAAATATTCTCCATATATATGATATACATAAACGCTTGGTAGTAATAATAATAATTAATAGTTTTTTCAGAAAATGTATCGTCGCTATATATCATTGCTTTATCATCCTTATACTAACTTTTACGTAATAATCTCTTCTTCGATCACACGATCGACCGATTTTCCCTCACATAAGTCCGTACTACTTGTAATTACATTTTAACATCAGTTTACAATTTTTCCCTGTTTCCTTTAATCTAAAATCTGAATTCTTATTTTCTCCTTTATTTCCTCTTTCTCAAGTTCGAGAATTTTTCTTATTTTTTTCGTTATTACTTTTCTATTCTCTTTCTTTTCTCAGATCTCTTTCTTTTTTTATTTTTATTTTGTATAATAACTTTATTCTCACATAATACAAGCGAATATAAAGGCACTGTGGAAAACAGATTTTGTGTCGCTTTATTTTTCTGCCGCGCAGATTCTCGGCGCGCCTCTCGACGATGCATAACGGGCGAGGTGCGTTTTCGCGATCGCCTCTGGTCGCATCCAGGGCACGTATCTTGCCTTATTGGTGCAACGCCATTGAGTTGCCTTCGCACGTCGTCGGCTGACGCATTGCGATTATGCAAGTCGGTGTTGATCTCGCGCCCGCGATTTCATCCCGGGCGTTTCATCTTTCCTCCCCGCGAATCTTTCTCTTTTCTCCGATTTTTTTATTCTTGTTCTCTTTTCCTTCCCATTTTAATTCTCTTACGAGATCGGTCGATCGTTTCCAGTTTCGCAATTCGATCAGAAGACTCAAGGTCTCCGTTTTTCGTTTCA